AAAAGCGCAAGAATGGGGCGGAATGTGTCAAAGGTATAAAAATATAAATTTGAATAAAATACAAAGATCTGATGAGCGAGTGTCACAGGACAAAGAGTCTCTTGAAAGGCATAATGATGGTCTTCAAAACAAAAGGTCCGCAAGTTCGTTGCGTTGCTCACGGGAGTTTTGGGCTGTCTCGATGTAAATCGAGCAGCAAAAAAAACATGGTGGTTGATAAAATCTCTCGAAAGACATAAATAAATTCTAAAAAAAGGTCCGCAAATACGTTGCATTCCTCACGGGAGGTGAGGACTGGCTCAATGTAAATCGACCTGCGAAGAACACGCTGGTTCTGATAAACGTTTTGAGAGTATAACCCTATACCTTGTTCAACTACCGCTTAAAATTAAATTCACCAAGGAAAAGTCTTGTGACTTTTGGGACCAAGACTCAGCTCTTCGCTTGTGCGATGGAGTTACATTTAGCTCGACGTTTCTTGTTCGACCAAGACTGTTTTTAAACTCATTTATTTTGGATAAGGAACTAGTGCTGCTGCTTTAAACGCAATTTATCAAGCAAACCAGAGCACTAATTTCCCTTTCAAACTAGAAATCGTATTAAAGCTTCCTCACCTGTTAGGTCCTCTAGAGCACACAACGAACAGCTGCACACTGAATCACCCAATTTGGGACCACGAGGTAAATGCAAGACCATGACGTCACCACCCAAATATGGGGTCTTACTTACACCCAAATAAGGTCAAAAATGCAAATTTTAGAGGGTTACGCAGAATTTGAGAGTTTTCGCCTACATTGCGCGGCGTTATAATTCTGCCGCCGGGTCAACCTCGCTTCTTAGCTCGGTTGCCTCGTTGGCAACTAGGAGTAATCGGAGCTTAGGGGAGTGCGTTCGATATGTTTGCTAGGCGCACAGGTAGCAGCTGAGGGGAAAGGGTGGATGGTTCTTGCGATAGATAACTATGATTATGGCATATTTTGAACGTGAGAGTTGCGTAAAGCGAAACCTCGATTTAAACTGTGTATGATAATGAAAAGGTTAGAAAACGCTAGTGATCAGCGTGATATCGTACGGTTCGTCTTAAGTGCTTGTTATTTGAGGAGACACTGGCCAGAGTACTTCGGGCGTGTAAAAAGAACGTTTTACACGCAATAGATGTTCTACTGGGCGCAGTTGTTCGAAGGACGATCAGCGCTTAACCCGGGTTTCTTTTTCTTTTGTTAAAAAACATTTCTTTGGATAATTTTCTTAGTTATTTTTAAGAGCATCCATTCATCAACTTGTTGGCAAAATGAAGCCGGGTCGCGAGTTCGATTCTCGCTCGGGGCATGAAAATTTCCTTTGTCCCGGTCGAGCATGGTTTCTCCTCCTTCCAAGTTGAAAATGTTTACTGGAAGTGTATGTGTGCTGCTCACTATATCTAGTGTATCATTAAAATTAATTTACGCGACCACGAGTTCGTGAGAAAAAAACGAAATGGCGGGTGAAAGGTAAGTGACGCCGACTGATTCGTTTGTTCGTTTGTCCAGTGCCGAAAATATCACACGTCATAATGAAATAGACCTTGTCACGGTTTGCGACAACATCTTGACGAGTAGGCAAACACGTGAGAAATTACAGTGTTTGTATGGGAATCTAATTTCGAATAATTTCCGTAGAACGGCTGTTCCGAAAAAAATATGATTTGTAAACTAAAGCTTCATTCCTAACGATTCTACTGAAAAAAATTGAGGGCGTTACACGCACTTAAATTTCCTATACATTTGTCTGTAAGAAAGTCCCAGGAAAATTGCAGACAAATATATGGAAAATCTAAAGCAAGCATCTGGAGAAATTTAAGCACAGGTTCCCCCTCCAAAAATTTTAGGAAAATCCTTTGCTCTGTAAAAATAAAAAAAAATATGAAGGCTTTATCCAAAGTAAAAGCACAGGTACGCCCCCAAAAATTTTAGGACAATCCTTTGCTCTGTAAAAATAAAAAAAAATATGAAGGCTTTATCCAAAGTAAAATTATGCTCAGGGTGTAAACTTTCAGCACACTTTTGAAAGATGAACGCTTTGGAAGATTCATTAAAAACAGATCGATAGTATACCTTCAACAAACTCTTAAATATGTACGCTTTACGAAGATTCAGCACACTTTTAAAAGATGAACGATTTACGAAGACAGAATAGCAGACCTCAGCAAACGTTTGAAAGGTGAACGCCGAGGACACACGAATCACCAAGTGAGTTAGCGCGTCAAATTGAGACAAAACGTACGCAAGCACCTCAAAGCGAGGCAAATGTGTGTCGATGACGACGACGACGACGAATGCAATCTCGAAAAAACTTCCCTTATTAATTGCACAGGAAACCCAAAATAATGCACAGAACACCCAACACAAATTAGGGGTTGCGTTCTCGTACCTCGAACGCAACTAAAGTTGTACTTACAGTCTCTCGCGGAATCCATTTCTTGTCCAGCATTCACCAACATCTCAACAAGGCATCGCAGAAAAAAAAAAAGACAAACAAGTGCAAAGAGACATGACGACATCTTGACGCCACAACTGCTACGCTACAACAAAATAGATTCATCGTGATCTGAAAACACTTCGGAGGAAATTCGGCCGATTTCGCCTTGTATCTATGCGTGCTCGGGGTATCTTCGGATGAAGCAAATGACGTTGCTGCAAGGACTATCGTCAGCAAGGAGCAAAACAGTTTTGCGAGATTCGCATAGCCCGACAAGAAGCGCACTAAAAATCTAAGCAAAATTTAACTGAGAAGGCAGTCCAAATTCATCAAACCAGAACGTCTTTGCAGTATTAACGTCGTACTCTGGTACTGACCTGAACGACCTGATAAGCTTAATGCTGTTGACCGAAAAACATTCCGACGCGATAAAACTTAACGCTTATGGATAAGTTTATACTGAGAAGTTTTGTTGTCTCATTGTTTAAAACGCTTTTCCGCGATCAAATTAAAAACTGGACCCAGAAATGTTATCGGCTTGAAATATAAGGATTAATTGATCTTTGAATGCAAGTGAAGTATTCCATTTTTCGCACTAATAATGTTGTTTATTTTTTTCATATGTTGTACTTTTTAAATAAATCCAGCTTGGTCAAGAACTGCTATCTGTCTTCAGTTTTGCACGTCGGTCCCGTGACATACATTATGACAAACAACTTTTTTTGTTTAAATCTACATTTATTGACAGGCATGAAACCCGTAACTTCAAGCTCCCCTGAGATATATTTGGCGATTTTTTTAATATGCTAATATCATGATATAGCGCTACAGCGAACATCAAAATCAGCCATGCTGGGCTTGCCAATTTCATGCCCGGCATGCCGGGCATGCTAAACCCAACTGGCTTCACGATCGGCATGCTCGGCATGCCAAACCGGACGAGCGAAAACTGGGAATGAAACAGCCCGGCGAGAGATCTGGGACCTAAGTTTAACTAGGTCAATTTTAGGCTACGAGGGCATGAACCCATTTTTTCCATGCCTATGAGATGCTATTTCTATGTACCAATGGTCCCTTTAATTTTGTCATGCCTAAATATATATTATTATTCATTCAAAATATTTCCCCGATTCTGATTGGCTAAAAGCACACGTTTAATTCACCATAACCGGTTACTGATGACCAAATTTGGAAGAATTTTGACTTTAACGAGGAAATGACGTATAAAAGGAAGCGTTTTCGCAGGTTAAGGCACCGTTAACCGAGAAGACCTGGGGACGAGGTTGAGTTGTTTTGGTTGTGAACTTGAAAAAAAGGCGGACATTTCACTCGTTTCAAGAGTAAGAACTAGGCGAAAAAACAGCTAAAAACACGGCAAGAACAGCAAGAAGACAACTCGAAGGACGACATCTGCTATTTGGAGAATATTTGCGGAGCTGGACAAACTCTAAACGTACACTATCGAAGATGAACTGAACATAGATGGATCGATGGAGGTAAGAATGTTTTAGCTATGTTTTTAAACTAGGAATTATTTTGAATGAATAATAAAACAGTTATTGAATTCGACTTTCGTATCATATGAAGAATTATGGAGAGCTCGGAGGGTGTTATCCGCCTCGGCCTACGGCCTCGACGGATAACACCCTCCTCGATCTCCATAATTCTTCATAAGATACTCAGCCTCATTCATTAACTGTTAAATATTTCGCCTCTCTCATTAATCCTCAGACTGAATGCAAGTTTTACGCTCGCTAGGCATGTTCAATTGAAAATCATGCCAATACCCTCATTTAAAACAAAATGCTATCAAATTTTAGTTTCCAAGCCATTCTTAGCAACACCCGTGTATATCGAACTGGACACAGATGACGTAAAACAAAAGCACAAAACCGATGAAACAATACCCAGCAGATTTTTCCTTAAAAAGAAAACAAAGAAGTCTTTTTGTTTTACGTCATCTGTGTCCAGGTAATGACCGGAATTTGGAAGCCATTATCTGTACAAATTGTCAATTCATTTGGTCAGGGAAAGTGTACATAACCGAATTGAGGATTGTCGATAATTAGTCCTTCGACAATGAGGTATCAGGGAATTTAAGATTTAAGACTACGGTTAATGGCTACGGTTGGACGAGTACGCGGGATCTGGGTTAAGCTTTTTTGCGCATGCGTAAAAGTTATGGGATGGCGTTTTGCTTATCGTCGTGTTTCACTACGGTAAGTTTTGACAGCTTTTCTCGTCGTAGTCAAAGATTTACAACGTGTGACTTCAAAGGTGAGAATTTTATTTGTTACTCAAAGAAATAACACATTTCTTTTTTTTTTCGATTTATTTTCTGAGTTTACCAGTGAGCTTCTTTTGTTTCTTAAAGAAGTGGCCCTGATTTCTTTTTTTCTTCGTTCTGTTTTCAGAGTTTACGAAGCGGTACGGGAGTGAAAGCATGGATATCCACGGTGCAAGTTCGTAAGTGAACCGATTGTTTTGTAGTAGATCGCTGCATATGCTTCAACATGAAATAGGTTTGAAATTTTCGAATGTTTTTAATTGTTTATTTGCTTATTGTTGAAAATTATGTTCACTTTTTTGACAGGGTCACTACTTCGGCCGCCGCGGACAGCTTTACCTGTTCCTTGAGGGCATCGAAAATATTCTGGGACCTGTAAAGCGTTAAAGGTCAAATGAACCAAAAAATTGAAATATTTTCTTTTGTCGCTTTACGTTCACCAAACTCTAAAAAGAACCATCTTAAGTGAGATTTGGTCAAAGATTTTTCTTCCCAAGCCTTTAAAGGAAGACAAAAGATCAAAATCCGAGCATTTCCGTAGACTTCACGAAAACGTTTCTGAAATGGCCGCGTGATAGACTGGAGACTATGACGTCAATGTTGGTCTTTCAGGGCGGAAAAAAGTTCTGCGCAAGCTTCTGCGCATCCCTTATCGCCTGCGATTGTTTGTCTCGTTCTGTGAGACTTCTGACTGAGACTGAATGAAATACACGAGGTGCGAACGTTTGCTCCTTGTAAAGGCTTTTTGTTTTTTGTTGTTGTTGTTGTTTTTTCGTCACTTGAAAATTACTTTGGATTCAGAACAACCAATGTTAGAGTAAAAACAGATCATTCCGTCAGTCTGAGGAGAAATAAAACGTTTTGAACATTTCCAAAGAGGTTTGTATTTTTCTGATAATTGTGCATTCGATTTGTGTTTTGATTTTGTGTCCAGTGCTTCGCCTTCTTTCGCCGGGTTGAATTAAAACCCGCTTGTATCCTGTTATTAGTTGTTACGGTTAGTTTTTTACATGCCCAGATTCATTTACCTTTGCAGAACCAGCTTTATCCTTGTCTTATGTCAAAGAACTGTAACGCTAACGCTTGCGAGTGAACAAACTTGAGCGCTTAAAACTTCCTCGGAACTATAGAAGGCTAGCAAGCTTATTCGATCACTTTTCCGTTGCTCAAGTAATAATAGTCAGAGTATTTTTTTTCTTTTTCATTTTTAGTTACGTAGTTTTGTTTTCTTTCTGTACGCAAATTTCCCTTTTCGCTCGCTGTGAAGTAGATGAGAACGTCAACTGCCGGCAGTGGCTTCAAAACAATTGACTCTTTGCCCGTAAACAATTGCTGGAGCTGGATTTGACTGAAGCAAGCAAAACAAACCCTTATGTGCAGTTTTCTGTACTTTCTAATGATTCAGTTTGCTGAGTTTAATTTGCTTCAATGAAGACCCTGGCATGGACCAGTTTTGAAAAATATGAGCTAAATGGTGAATCATGGCTTGGGTGCGAAGCTTGCAACGGATCTTTTGAAATAAGATCTTTAGGTAGGTTATTTCGCACAGAAGATTCACTTCTTCATTGTCAGCAGGTATAAGAGCCTTAAGCCTTATGTTTTTTGAGTGGAAATTTGTTGTTTTGCAACCTTATTGAAGCTTTTTTTAGTTCACTTAAACTGAATTTTATGCATGATGGAATTGTTCTTTGCTTGTCGCCTCTCTTTGCGAGCTTAAAGCGGCGTCTATGGTTTTTAAAGTGACCTAGTCGGTAATTAAATCATATAAATAACTGGAGAGAAGTCAACTTTGTTTGAAGGAGATCTTACTTGGTTTTTGAGAACGTGACAACACAAAGCAAACTTTATCTGCGCGAAACGATCAAGTTTAAAAAACTGTAGTTGCTTTGAAACCGATTTTGGGGAAGATTTTGCTAGATAAAGATTAACTCTTTTTGTGCCCACATATCAACGCCAAAACTTCTACATTGAGGATTTTGTTTATATTTTAGTGTTCTGCGAAGCAAAAGTGTGCGATCGAGCGTGGGTTTTAAAATATCAGCTCGAGTGCGACAAAGTTCAATGACTTCAAACACATTGCGGGCAAGCGTGAATTTCTTTGGGCCAATCACTTTACAAAGATATTTTGTTTTTGTGTCCACAGTGGAGCTCCGGACCTTATATATCCAGAAACTTCCTTATATGAACACATTTTGTGAATACACCTTGAAAAAAACCGGACCTACGCACGCACATTTCCAGTACAGCGCAAGGAAATTAATGCCGTCGTTAAAGTCCGTTTTGCTATGATGTATTCTTCAAGAAAATTAAATAATAAGGTAATAACCACAGCTTGCAATTTTTGAAGACAAATTGCTTGTTCTTTCTAGGTTTATGGCCGCACAAACCACCACAATTTCTGCGCCAAGTCGACTCGAAAAACACTGTTTTGAATTTCCCGCTTTTTTTCACCTGACCAACATTGACGTCACACGCTGTTTTTACCGACAATTTTTCCGACCGCTCTACGAAGATAAGGGCCAAAAAATAACAATTTTTAATTGCGAATATCTCGGAAATGCTTACTTCAATTGAGCTGAAACTTCATAGTATGTTTATTCGGTTCATATTAAACATATTTCACTAGAATTGAACTAAAATGAAAAATGTCGAATTTTTGGTTCATTTGACCTTTAACCAATAAAGGGATATCGTCTTTGTCTACTCTAAATTCAGCTTTACCTTCACTGATGTCAAAGTTATCGATGCTGAAAGGCTCGTATTCCCAGTGAGGAAAATTTAAATTTGTGGACTCGTACTCTTCGTAAAGAATAAGAAACTCTTCTTCATTGATCACTCCATCAGAAAAAGCGCAAACTAAGGCTTCACGAAGTTCATGAAATGACATTTTTCACACAATGACCGTCGAGAAGTGATTCAACCGTAGCAGCTTCCTTGTTTACAATCTTCCAATCCACCATCGACAAGAACCAGACCTCTCCTGCTCGTCCAACCGTAGTCATTCAACCGTAGTGCTCAATCTTAAATTCCCTATTTAAAAAAGGCTGGAATTTCTTGTACTATGCGAATGTATAAAGGGCGTACCAGCAGAAACCGAAAACGGGCTTTGAAAAAGTGTAGAGATCAAAGGGAGGGAAGACAAACCACCCCTTGTCAATCAACAATGAGTTGTGATCATTGTCAGTGTAACCTGTGTGATACAGGTTATGTCTGTTACGCGAGCTGACACCTTCACCAGCAAATTCCCTTGGGAGCCGCAAAATATGGCCCTAAGAAAAATCCGCCAAATTTTGAAATTTTAAGAAAGTGCCAGAAAATACTTGAGTGCCTGAAAAATTGAAATTGAAATGGAAATTCCTAAAACGAAAAGTTTTATTCCTAAAGGGTTTGAATTGGGTACAACATTCAGTTAGCCGAATTGGTCCATACTAAATTATTGTTTTTAACTCTGGGGTTGCCTTCAAACCAAAGGCATTGTAACTTTGAGGAGCACTTTTCTCCAAGTCTTGTCTGTGGGGACCTTCAAACAATTCTATTAGACAAGGTTTGGCCCAAAATAATAGCGGGGCTCCCACGCGCGCGAAGCGCGCGAGGGACAGAGCCCCATACCCATAGATTATGGTCACCCTCTTTTCCTTTGGTTGTCACGTGATTGACCGAGCGTACGCGTCTACGGATTGTATGGATGGGGTAGGGGAGACTATCAAAAGGAAGGGAGGGGTGTCTCAGGCGTGTCTTGCCAAGTCCACATCTTTTACATTGGACAGCTGTCAAAACAGGATAGCCACTGACCAGTATCCAATGACCATATCGCGGGCTCATGTGTCAACTCATTGAGGTGACGTGATTTATTTGGAAGCTGTCCGTTGACCAGTTAATTATTTTACTAGATCGCGATCAATGTTCAGTCTCATACTTTCTAGCTAGTTTGGGATCGGAGCACAGGAAAACTGATACACGTCAATGTTGTGATCCATTGACAGCTGTCAAAACAAGGTATCTGCTGACCAGCATCACTTGACTGTATCGCGGGCTCAGGTGTCGACCCGTCGAGGTCAAGTGTTTTTTTGAAGTTATCCGCTGACAAGGAACTGGTTTTCAAATGATCGCAGGCTCAAGTTTAATTTTTTAAAAAATTCATATGAAATATGTTGTGTTTATGTGCCGCACAATTAAAATTTTGATTTCAAACTGACCTCGGACGCGAAAATTCAGCCAGCTGCTACAGGCAGGGAAGACAGTTGCTTTTGACTTTTCTCGCCATGTTCACGCGTTGGTCACGCTCTACGTCCAATTTTTATGCTCTAATTGGTCAAAATTTGACAGGTGAGTTCATGCGGAAAATTTATGCAGCATCTTGAATCTTGTTTACTTTGACAGCTGAAGCTGACAGAATTTTGTGTCAACTTGTGATGTTTTTAACTTTCTTTTTCAACTACAAAATGAAATTCAGCTGCTATCAGGAGTCTTCTGTTATTCATGGCTAGTTTGTTTATTGGGTTTTTGGTTGAGTCAAAGTCGGAAATCCGATTTCGGATGGCATCGTTTTCGTTTTCATCTTGCTTAATGCGTAAGAGGGTTGCAAAGTGCGAAGCGATACTGGCCTTACTTGATACCTTTCAGGAGCTGCATCTCGAGTGGTAAGCTTAAGTAATTATTGTATTTGATGTTTGTTTTTTATTCCTAATTTAATGAAGTCGAGCGTAGTTTATGCGGCTATTTTGTTTACGCACGTTTGTAAGATTTGAGACAATGATCTGACCGAGTATCAGGTTTGTTATAAGCTTACAGATCTTTAAAAAGCCTTTAGACATTTTCTCACAGCAAATAGAAAGAAAACGTTTCAAAGAATATTTAGTTATAATTCTGGCTGTAAAAGAAAGGTTTGAGCGATTTTCTTGCCTCGAGTTCGTCTTTGAAAAAAGCAAACACCGATAAGCCGGCTTAAAACATAAACTTCAGCTTTAAGCTCGAAGACTCAGGATTGTTAGAGACACTTTAATACTTGTCTTCCTGAATGAAAAGTGTCGTCTCTGTATATGTTTCACCGAATTATATTTCTTTTATTGATTGTTAGTACTCTCTCTTGTAATTTTAATCGTTGTACCGATTGTTTTCAGTCGTTCAGTAAACAACGCTTCCCGGAGTACTCAAAATGCCGCGTGTTAAACCGTTTTAAAATAAAAAATAAACATAATAAATTCTTTATTATGTTGGAGCGTAACTCTGTTAATGTTCATTCAAACACTCGACACTGCTAGCACTGTAAAAGTCAGAACCGGCTGGCCGTATAGATGATTTTGAAAATTTTTTCAACGGTTTACGGCTAAAGCCCACGCGTGCTCCGATCGTCCTGAAGAGCAATTTGTATCGCAATGTTGTGAAATACTGCATTCTGTTGTCCGAGGTCTGTATGATAAAAACAGTGCCTCATAATACTGTTTCACCTCAGATGTATAAATGATATAAAAGGTTGGTTTACACGCACCCAGATCTGTTGCCAAAATTTTGTAAAATAAACTTGTCGAACGCAAAAAATTCGGCCGGAATTTTTTTTCCAGGCCTAATTAATCTACGGTGATCAAGAGCCATTATGGCTCTTAATAAATGTGATCGAAGATGATTGCCAGTTTTTGGGTGTACTTATGAGGCTATCAACTCGATGTGAGATTTGGTTCACTCTTGGGCTGTTTGCAAATTATTTTTTGTAAAATCACTCAGCCTTTCCTGAAAAGTCACACGAATGTGCTCTAAAGTGAACTGAATTGTGGAATACAAGTTTATTGTTTGATTTAAATTATAAATTTATTAATGGGAGCCTCCCTTTTAGCCCTGGCTAAATCTATATATTAATGATTACTGCACTTAGCATGGACACAACATAAGTTTTCCAAAGTTCGTTTTCATAGTTCTTCATGTTTCTATTGAACAGCACCTTTAAGAAATACAAAGCTCACACAACAGAGTAAAGATACAATAAAAGTTATTTATTGTTACATTTTGTTTTTTGTAAATAAACATTTTATTTCGGGTCCTGACATAAACTGCAAGCAAGGGAGCTATGCAAGTCACGCGGACCATCAGCAAAAATAAAGTAAAAACAAGTAAAAACTGCAAATTTTACAGATAACGGTTGAGCACTCATTTTACTGATTAGGGTTTAGGTTGGGGTTAGGGTTATGATTAAGTGTTGTTTAGGGTGAAACACTTATTTACCGTGGTTAGCTTTCAGTTAATTCTTTCCGTATTACTGTTTTCGATTTTTATGTATCATTTTCAATGAGTCGTATCTGACCTGCATGACTCGCTAGCTGGCATATTATACACACTCTTTTATCTCCAAATCTTGTTTTTTTAACACCTTCTTGGACATGAAAACCAAAAACCAAAACTTAATTGATATAATGAAGACAGTAGCAGCTGACATCGATTTTCAATAGTTATCTTGTGAGATGTCTCTATGTATTATTTATTAGGGAGGCACTGATAAGGAAGTGAAATTTGATGCTTTCTCTATATTTGTTCGTTTTCTGCTCTCTAGGATGATTTGTTGAAGACGATGCATTAATGTGGATGCTTTTTCGTCAAGAGAGTCTCAATAATTTAGGATTTATTCAAATACAAACATATTCGATCTTATGACATAAATGTGGGCTTATTGCTCACGCACAGGGATTGATGGGGCAGATTGTGGCATTTTTCCTGTTTCAGATTGACCTTTTGCACAGCACAGGGACTGAACATATTATGTATTTGGCATTTGTAAAGTATAAACAGTATTTGACACGAGGGATTGAACATTATGTAGAGAAAATCTTCACAAGCCTCCACTTCCATGACTCCTCCCTCATCTATCTCCTTTAAAGCCCCTTGAATAAGGGCCAGAGTCTCTTCTATGGTTGAATGGTCATTGAGTGTGAGCTTCCACTCACAAGGTATATAAGCCCCCCCTCCAACCTGTTTCCTTCTTACCCATTTTTGAGAGGGAGGAGGGGCTTTTGTGGTGGTAGGTAAGCCTGTGACCACACTACAAAGAAACCAAAAAACATGTTTAATTTTATTGAGGTAGGTTTGAACTTGGACATTAAATTTTTTATTACAGTGGAACATAAGGCGAATCTAAAGCAACATTTTGCCCTCAGAGCACAAATATGTCGTTCTGAAGATATTTAGCATTTTGTCTTCCTCGTTCCTTTTCCCAGCTTTTTGGCACAAACGCGACTACATGTTTGTAATATCTTCAGATGTTTGTCTACATTTGGACAGACATCCTGATCAAAATAAAAGAAATCAATATAAGAACCTACTCACACTGACTTAAAACTCATTCCACACACATGATCTGGATCAATAAAGTGATTTCTAGATGAGAGTCGCATACATTGCCGGTGAACACAACCAAAAACAGACTTGATCGATTATAACTAAAACTACATAGACAGACTAAGGCACACCCATCAATATCAGTAACCCTTCCTGTCCGTTGGCAATTTTCAATGTGTGGTAACCATTTTTACTAGGTTGTTGCCATCGATGAAACTTTGCCTGAACACACTTTGCACGTTGTAGTTTTGAGGAAAATTAGTCTTGATTTCGTAAAAATTCGTCAGTGAAAATAGATAAAAAAAAAATAAAAAAAAAATAGTGAAAACTAAACATAAAGTCATGTACTTACATTCGATACCCGTGAAGATGGCGGCGGCGGCGTCGAAGGCCTACTGAAATGAACTACTGAAGTGTGGCAGGAAATTTCCCTTGACTTTCAAAAAGCAAGGAGAAGGCTTTTTCATCGGTACTGCTAGGTCGGAAGTCCCGGATATTGAACGAGGAGACCTGGAACAGGCTTTGAAAAATGCTCCCTTGTTTCTTGCGATTATTTTTTCCTAT